GCAATTATAATTTGGGAGATAGGGCAAATTTTATTTGTTACCTTATGGCACCTAACTTTGGGATTTTCTCTATCGGGGAAAAAATATAAATTCACATTTGACTATTACAATTACAAAATTGTTAAAACACTTTGTTCTTTAATAAATTGTAACAATAAATTTATAATTAAGTAATATTTGTGATAGTGCATTGTTTTGGCAAATATAATTTATCTTGGGGACTTTTATGGTAGAGTCGTGCCTATGGTACCGTCTTTTATTTTATGTAAGTGGCATTGGTGTTATAATTATATGTTATATACTCGTATTATTGGCCAATGTTTGTGTCCAATAAATCTATTCGATCTGATGTTCATCTGCGAGTCTGTTCACGACACTCATGTTTCAATATCGTCAATTCTAAAGTCCCGTACTAATGCGTTTCCCAGAAGGTTCATTGTAGGTAAGTCATATGTAATGTGTATACATTACCATGATTAAATGTCCATATTGTGTCTATCTCAGTACCGGATCTACGGTTATTTCTAACCGGAGCAGAAACTTGATAGTGCGCCCTTCGTGCCCGTCCTTTTTCTTAACCAGGGGCCTTCATTAACCCTTTTACGTCCCCGCTGCAGGGGCTCAGGCCTTCCTTATTTCCTAATGGATAGTTGAGTTATAGGATAAGCCAAGATCCCCCACACTGGCTCAACGCGGATTGGACAATTAACCAGGAACCTAACTGTCTAATTTTAAAAATCTGTCGTAATCCATTTAAATTTTATATCTGAAACATATTCACGATCTTCACACTCTAACTGTTTGACATGTTATAGCGATTACGATCTCGACGTTATATTGAAAGATATCGAATGAATGATATCGACGACAATTAACGTTAAATGGAATTGTCGAAGCAATGCGAAAAATGCTTGAAAGCATTTGAGAAATGTCAAACGAAAGAGTTGAATGCTAACTGTAAGCTTTCGACGGGTACAAATTAGTTTCATTATGTTTTTTGATCCTTCAAATCATCATTCGTTCCAAAAGCGATTGCGACTTGCAAAGTAATATAATTCGATAAATTAAAACGATTACAATGATTTTGGCAATTGCCCCCACTAGCCCTCCTCCTAGATCCGGCGCTGTTGTATCTTTGTCTGGCAGTTGCATTGTTACCGATTTCATACGAGTAATAGTACCTATAGACAAGCTTTAGAAATACATATATAATTTAGGTATGTTTTAAGTTTAACTTTTTTTCCCATAAAGTAGTGATTTAATCTTTTAGTTTTTTACTTTATTAATGATGTACTAAGTTATATTTAGTAATTCTTTTGGTTTTAATTGTATGATGTGTTTACTGGTGATAAGCTAATAAGTATGTTGGTAAACAAATAAAAAAACTTAGATGAGGATTTTTTGTTTTTATTTACTTAAGTGGTGTTGTCTAATATTTTTTATTAGCTTTAGCGAGTGGTCAACGCGTAGGTAAACTAAGTTTACTGTAGGCCGATTTGCCGGTCTGTAAATGGATGACCGAAAATTATTGGGTTGGCACAAAAGTAATGAGACACACTAGAAAAATCTATAACATTTCCTTTTTAAAATCAATTTTTTCGATAATATTCTGGAATGTTGTAGAACATTCTAGGTACTTCTGGTGTAGGGTATATAAAGCCGCGCTCGCGATTTGTTTAGTCAGTTTGAAGAAAAATGGACGAGCGACAAGTTCGAACACTATAGTTATACGAGTACTTGTTAGGCCACAGTGCGCGGGCTGCGGCTGACAATATCAACAATGCATTAGGCGCTGGAAGTACAAGCCACGCGACGGTGTTCCGATGGTTTGACCGTTTTAAATCAGGAGACAGGAGCCTTGAAAGTCAGCCACGCTCAGGGCGACCACCCGCAGTGAATGATAACGATTTGCGCCGCGAACTGCAGTTGAATCCGGATGCTACCACTCGTGAATTAGCGGATGCACTTAAATGCAGTCACCACGCCGTGGAACACCATCTGCATGAGCTTGGTTATCGAAAAGTTTTGGCTCGGTGGGTACCGCACATCCTTACAGACGCCAGTCGTGCAGTCCGTGTCGCTATCTGTCAGTCACTTTTGCTGCGACCCCGACGTTAAGAGTTTTTGTCAGATCTGGTTACTGGAGATGAATCATGGATTTATTACGAGAACGATACACGTCGTGCTTTTTGGCTGCCTCGAGAAGAAACGCCACCAACTCAAGCGAAGCCGAGTCAAAAGAACCGCTAAAAAATTCTGCTTTGCTGTTTCTGGGATGCGTAAGGCATACTGTTTTATGAGCTATTACACAATGAAACTATAAACGCTGACAAATATTCAACCCAGCTTACCAAATTATCTGCCGCTATCAAGAAAAAACGACGAAGACGAGTCAATGTAGTTTTACTGCACGATAACGCTCGACCTCACGTCGCATCTGTGGTTCGCCGGCAGTTGGAGAACTTGGGCTGGGAGACGATACCCCACCCACCTTATTCCCCAGACCTCGCCCCATCAGACTATCATTTGTTTAGAGCCCTGAAACAGCATTTGCGGGGTAAACAATTTAATGATTTCTCTGACGTAGAGGCGGAGTTGAACAACTTTTTCGAGGCACAGCCATCAGAGGTCTGGGCAAAAGGCATCCAAACTTTGCCGGATCGTTGGCAAGAAGTCTTAGATACTAATGGTAATTACATCATTGACTAAACTTTTTTTATTGTAATAATAATAAAAAAGTAAAAACTTAAACCAAGTGTCTCATTACTTTTGTGCCAACCCGATATTTTGTGTGAGCACCTTCGTGCTTCGTGCCGGCTTTGTCTGCTTGCTCATACTTGTTTCAAGACGTAATAAACATATAGAAGTGAGGATGCTTATATGACGACGACAATGATGACCTCTGTAGCCTAGTGGTTCGCGAGCCGGTTTCAAGGTGACGCCGTCTCTGAGGTCCTGGGTTCTCTAGCAATAGCTATAAAAAGTTTTATTAATATTTAACAGCCAACACTACTTTTTCTGCGATTTCATGCGCGTTACAGCTTTGCGTATTATGTGGTTTTCCTTAGGTGAAATGATTTTTTAAAGCAGTCCCGTAGGGAATAATGCTAACTAACAAAAAATAATTTCTCGTTGCAATGTTAGTATAGATATGTTTATATAAAAAAAATGTTCTTTATTATATATATGCATCCCTTTTTATTAAAAAAAAAATGGTTTATTTTAGTGTACGAAATAGCTTTGTTTTGTAGAATGATCGAAGGAAGAATGTTTTATGAAACGAATGTGTCGTGATGGAAAACTTTGAAAGATCATATATTTTTATAATAATAAAATAATGCGACCAGTTGTTGAAAAACTGAAAAATGTTTCAAGTTCATTCTTCTTAAAAAATGAATTTTTGTTGTTTTGCTGTTCTTGAACATAAAATGTATAACCATGACTTTATGCTTTTGCCATCGAGCCCACAGATTGAAAAACGCTGCTCTACGCAGACGTCTGCTTGACATCAATAGTAATTATTCGTACTTTAATGAATCTACTAAATCAAGGTATACTTTTTTAACTATTTTGAAGTCGGTTTTACTATTTGAAAATATGTTTTCGAAGACGGTTATTTATAAAATAAATAAAAACAAATGAAGTATGCATTTAATTTATTGAGTAACACTATTATAAATTTAATATAGTCAATTAATAAATATTATTTGAATATGTAAATATTTACAGTCTTTATTTATTAATCATATTAAAAATTGGTACGATTTTAATGAAAATAAGAGCCGCTTATGTGGGTCAGTCGTATCATAATCGTTTTTATAAAAATGCCTTTGCCATAAACATAGTGTCAGAACAATTAAATAAGCTTAATATATATTTACTTCTTATAATTGATAATTTGCTTAAAGAGAATGTAAATCGGAATGACATACCAATCTTGTACAAAGGTGCGATATTTCTTAATCACTATTGTTTTTTAATTTACAACATATGTACAACTACTTATTACTTTTCTTAGGTAAGACTAGAAATTCTTATAAACTAAATGTTTTCAAAAAGTTGTTGATAGTGTTAATACATTCTTATGATTACTTTATATTCCGCAATTGAATTTAAGTAAATCCTTTTTTAAGAAATATGTCTTTGAAAAGCGTTAAAACTACGACATGAAGATAATTGTACAACTTACGATATTGCCAATTTAATTTCCATAACAAACAATCATAGAGCTGATAAAAATAATGCGAAATAAAAAACATAGGCTCTTTATATTTTTGCAAGAGCTTAGATCTATAAAGTTTGTTATAGTATTTTCAATTCAATGACAAATTACGTAAATCGTCAAGAGAATAGGGAAAATGTTGGGTAAAAAAAAAAATTTAAACGTCAGTCTAAAATGTTAGATACGTATTTTTTTTTACTTCCATTTAACAAGAAGGGGCTTAGGTTAAAGTTAAAGAGTGGGGGCTCGCTACGTTACAGTTTAGTAGAAATATAGTCTTATGTTATATTTCGATTTTATGTATTGCCGTAATTTAATGAATACGCAGAAAAAAAAAATAATATTCTTCAATAATCTACTTGATGGATAAATAAACAAATAAATTATATGATTAATCTGAAAGTTAACTGAATTTCGGTGCAATTGTGAGATACATTTTAGTAATATAATAATTTTGTAGTACCTGCTTATTCGTCAATGCTAAAAACGTACATAATATTTATATATTTGTACACAGGAATTAAGATAATTTCTTCCCATATGCAAAAAAGCTTATGATAGGTACTAATTAAGATTTTGAGCTAATTTTAATTGCACTCTAGAAAACACGTATCATCAGAATAGGTCCACTAGTGATTAAAAATATCATGGAACAAATTTTTAAAGTCGCTTAAAAAAACGATTTCAATTGTCAACTGTAGAAACTTAACACTGATTCTATACTAATATTGCTATTACAGTTGCTGTAAAATTGAAGCGATATCGTCATATTATTATTTCAAAGTATCTCCCTTTCTGATCTGTACATGTCACTAATAATTTTCTCTATAGATATTTCTCCAATCGTAGACCTGAAGAACAGCTCCACAATGACACTGCTAGGGACTCTCCTTATGTTGTTTAATTGATGGAGAAGACGTCCTGCTCGGGTTAAAGCTAGTGGATATGTGCGGGCTACGTACTGAAATGAAAAATTGCTTTATACATAAAATATTACGACAATAGAGACATTATTAAAAAGTATAGTCAATTTGTTTCATGGTTAAAAAGATAAAATTATTAAGCAACTTTATATGACTATTATTTTAAATTATTAAAAAAATATAAGCAATGAATGAATCGCAAAGTGTAATGTAACAGTAACGCTATATGATTTTATAGAATTGGCAAAAAAGAAGTCTCTAAAATTGTAAGCTCACCTCATTTAATATGATTTTGGAATGGTCCTGCAACGCTGCCACTGCGGGAAGATCTTGTAGTCTCTTGTAATCTGAGCGAGTCGGACTTGAATCTCCGCTGTCAGCAAAGGCGGTTTTGAATAGAACAATTCCTCTCAAGCAGGCGTATTCATTCGTATCGGGTCTAACGAGAGCCAGCTCTGCTAAAGCCGATTCGAACGCCTCCAAGTCTCTCCCATCGATTCTCGTATTGCTCGAATCGTAAAGTATCTTCAAGTCCACAGGATAAAGGAATTGCGCTGTTCCCAAAACGAATAAATCTCTCCAAGATTCCACCAATAACAATAATCTATCGGACAGAGATAAAGTAGCGAAAGCTGGCACATTCTTTGCCCATTTAACATTCATAAAAAGTATTCTGGCTGCTGATTCGCAAATAGCTTCAGGCTCTGATGGCGTTATTAAAGGAGCTGACATTGGTGGGGATGGAATATCAAGTGGTATCAGTGATGGAGTAGCAAACTTCAATCTGTTATATGAATAAGGGTTTGGAAATAGTGACACAGGCGGTGGGGGTGGAGGTAGCACCGTTTGTTTTGGCAGAGCTAAATCTAAGACTGGTGGAATTGGTCTATTCAAGTCTCCACTTGGTATAGGGTCTTTGAAAAACATTGCCATTTGTCGTCTTATTGTCGAATTCCTCGGACCTCTTTCATGTTGAACAGCTGTAACAAGGAGTAACTATTTGAGGGTAACAATTAACAATAATTATTGTGACATAATTCTACGATTAATTTCATACATGAAAACTAATTTTAACGAGCTTCGAAAAATAAATGACGAGACATTGTTTCTGCCCTAACAATTCTTTTAATTCGTATTTGCATGATATTAGACTACAATTACTCTGGTGAAAGCTAATGGACTGTAATGAAGATAATGCTGTTAGATTGTGTGATACATTAAAGCATCTAGAAAAACGTTATTGCAATTTCTAACTCACCATCTTTATTCATGCCGGCATCTAGACATTTGGCCAATCGGCAGGCTCGGCATTGGTTTCTATGAGCCTTATCCACAAGGCAGGCTCCTGGCGTCCTCGCTTTGCAGGCATATCGCCGATCTCTTCTCACTGATCTCTTGAAAAATCCCGCACAACCATCGCATGCAAAGACACCATAATGTTTACCCGATGAATGGTCTCGGCAAACGGCACACGGTACGTCATACAGGATCCGATCTAAAAGAGAAGCAATATATCTAATTAAATAATAAAAAAAACTGCATTTTCTAATTAGTTCCTGCTTTTAAAACTATGATGACAGTTTATATTCATTTTTCTAGTTTAAAAAGATCGTGCACTGAAGCGAGAGAAAGATAGCATTTCCAGCTCTAAAGTTTTTTAAATTTTCTGTCAGCGACTAACTAGCTTTTAAAATATTTCTAAAACAAAGTCGCTTCTCGCTGTCTGTACGCTGAGATATTTTAAAGTAGTTTGATCAAAAAAAAGAAACATTTGTTTTTATTAAATGGAATAAAGGCTTCTCCCTTCACCATTTTTCTTAGTGAGGGCCCGCCATAAAGGAATTCTTATAATTGTTCCCTAATTAAAATTGCTAAAAACAGTTATGAATTATTTAAGTAAAGCTGATTTTAAAATCTGTTATCTCTTTTTTTATCTAATACTAACTTCTTACATTTACATATCAAATGTGAAGTCCAAAAAATATATTAACTTGTAATTTAACATTCACGAGAATCTTCGCACGATTTAGAACTGTAACAGTTATTTGAAAGCTCAGCGAATTATGTATAACAAAATAATATAACATTGTATCTTCATAAATCACAACTGTCTACCATAAAATTATATTTCTTCTACATAATAGCTCATTGGCTCTGACCAGGGGTGACAATAACGCATTCATAACTAATAGTGTTGGCATGTGTTGAGTGTCGCTCCAGGGAAGCTCCGCCTTCAGACCCTCCCCATAATAATTACTAACTGCCAAAAGCACATTCTTTTATTTGATCGGTAAAAACTAAAGTACTTTTACCTTCAAAAGGGGGACTTCAAATTGATTGCGAATGAAACAAATGCGTGTACACAATTAAAAAAAAAAATCAGTTAATGTTAAAAGTGAAGTTCTATTGTATTTATAACTATCTTAACTTTTTACTAAGTAAAAGTTACGTTTATAATACACCTGTAAGTGATTTTACAGTCGCCAAATTTATGTTAGTATATAACATCATCGTAATTTATCAATCCCTGATGTACTAAACAAATAAAAATATATTTAAAAATAATATTTTATATTTTCACGCGCACTATTCATTTATGAAACAATTTTTAAACGGTTTCATCGCGTTTGTATTTAGTTTCATTGACGTTTCGGATCCTTTACAGGTTCCTGTTTGAAACCATTTAAAAGTGGATTCATTATATTATTTTAATAATGATAAAAAAAACTATGTCGTTTGATACTTTCGACTATTTAATAAACAATATTATTAAATTAGCTGTTTCCCCGCAACTTAGTCGCCAATGTCATAAACAGCGTTTGATGTAGCTTCTCGTAAGTTAAAGTTCAGTAGTTTCGGAGCATATTCTATGCAAACAAACAAACAATAAAATCTTTCCTGTTTATAATCTTGGTATCTAAAAGTTAAAAAGTTGTTTTCGCAATTAAAATAGGTAGATGTCTCTGCTCAAAACTCAATTATTTATTGTCAAATATGTGTAAAATAGAGGTTATATAATATAGCGTATTTGAAACACTGCGTTATTAATGCCAATTAAATTATTTATGAAATATGTTCAGATTTTATTACGGGTACAATAAAATTGGATTTTGTGAATTAACAATAACAGTCTATAACTATTATGAGTCGATGTCACAGAACAGAAAAACTAGGTGTGACATTTTTTTTGTTCTTCGAGTTTCTTAAAAAAAAGAGCCGTGAAGATCATTTACTCAATTAAATATTAATACTTGGTTAAAATAAATAGTTTTTCGTGACAAATAGGGATTCTAAATTTTATAAATTCTATACTTCGAACAGTTCTATTTAAATTTTACAAAAAAAATACTCTAAAGGTAAAATAAAAAACAAACATCGGTATTCCGGCCCGAGGGATTCGAAAAAAAAACACTATTCGCGTCGAGTTCATCATTCTGCAATCCCACGACTTCGTTTAACATCATAGGATAATACGCCTTTATTAAATACCCAAACACGGCCGTAGTCAAAAAGGCACAAAGGCATTGAATTCACTTGCGAGAGGCAGGAAGCGCGGTGTCGAATATAACTCGAAAAAAAAAGTGATTCACAATACACCGGCCGTAGACAATGTAAATTTTGAAGCTAAGAAGTGGGCCGAACTAGTCTTGTCTCAATAAACGGAGGATAATGACAGGTCTGCGTATGCCATCTCTCATTCGAACAAGTCACTCATACGCACGTTTTGTGTGTGAATCGATTTTTGATAATGATATAGTTTGGCGTGCAGCTGCTTGTACTTGTGTCTTTCAATTTTATTCAGTCGGAAATCTGATTATGAACCTGTCCCAGAGTTAAACTAAGATACTGATTTGAGAATCAAAAAACACAGAATTATTAGAGTTTATGGAAGTAAGTCTACTAATTAAGTCCTTTTATTTTATTAAAGACTTACTTCCATAAACTCTAATCCCGCGACTTTGCCCACGTAAATTATAACCTATTTCAGCGTATGATTCCTACAGCCTCCCGCAGGTGAAAAAATAAATCGAGACAATATTATCGGAACCTATTCAATGCAAAATTAACCAAATATGATAGATCAAATCATAATATTATAATTATAATATCATGTTAAATTATGATATTTACTTACTTCAAATTATTATTTTAAATCGGGATAAAAAGTATAAAAAGAATCCGGATTTAGGATTAATAAAGTTTTTGTAATCATGATTTATTTTATTGTGCTTAACAATAATATTGCCAGTATATCTGAATTTCATTTTAAATAATAATATACAGATTAGAAAGAGTAATGAAAAATGACTGATTGAATGAATTTATCTTTTATTTGTTTTTTTTTTACTAAACTTTATTCCGTTGTCTTGTTTTGCGAGAAAACAAACATACATAATTTCATACAGACACTTAGAGCATACATGTTTCATTTGCATGTAATATCGCCAATGTTACAATTTTATTATTGTGCCATTTTAACGAAATTAGAGGGTAACCTCCTTTTTTGAAATCTGTGAAAAAAATGTATTCTACCACCTATTTGATCCATGAGTTAATCAAGCCGTGCGAATAGTCACCTGTGATGTACATGTGATGCGCGGGCGCATCATTTGCGTGTCATAGGAGGGTTACACGATCAGGCTTATTACTCACGACCTTATTAATAACGGGGGCAAACGACCCTCTATAACACATCGATATCGAGCGATGTGAACTGTTTCCCACACCTATAACGTTTTTCTAAATTGATAATAAATTAATATACAATATCGAGTGCCTTTTTGATTTTATGGTTTTATAACTAGGTGAATCCATCAGGCGTGAATTTGTGTAAATATCAATAAAGTAGCCGTACTTCCATGACTTCGCCTGCGTTTATTATTGTCTATATAACCCGCGTCTCTGTAGGTGAAAGAATTTATAGGTAGGTATTTTCGAAGGATATCCACCTCCAACAAAACAAACAAAGTTAGAAACTTTACCCCAAATAATATTACTTTACATTTCATGCTTAGAGCGATATTGATAAGTAAGTCTCGGATTGCGATAGTGTGTTTAAACTGGCTAAGTGCGGATTGGACTCGTGCACGAATGGATCTATATCAATATTTCGATTAGAAAAAGCTAAAATAACACGTGCTTTGTTCCCGCTTAAATATTAATTATAGATTTATTTTAGTTTTTCAATAGTCCAATAGATATCACAGTTCATTAAATACAGCCTATATACGGTTAGATGGACAGCGAAGTTTTAGTGATAAAAAGGAAGGGTCTTGTTTTTGCTGTTTTGTATTCAATCCAAAAAATTAACAGTAGTACATGTCACGAATATAAATTATAGACAATAAATATTTCGAGCGAATAAAAAAAATAAAAAATCAACGAAACAAAGCTCGAGCCTAACTTTAAAAAAAGCGATAAACAATTTACTTATCTCAAAAGCGATTTATTGAAGGAACTTCTATTGAAATCAGGCGCTTATCGTTTAATTAATAACCTACAGAAAAAATCCGGCCGACTTCAATAGCAGTTACTTTAATAAGTTGCATTTGAGATAAATATTATAATTTATACGAGCTCGTTGATAATTTGACAACACAACGATCCATCGCTATGATGTCACGTTGTAATTAACTTAAATAGCCAACAATCGGATGAGCAAAACGCACAGGGGTGAGAGAGTGTGCATCTGCACAAGGCGTGGGAATACGCCTGCGACTCTACCGCTAGTGTAGTGAGTGCCTAACACGTAATTAGACACGTCATCTGAGGTAATTAGTTACATATACATGTAATGATCTCCTAATAAGTAATTTTAATGCCACTATCACCACAATAAAACTAGTGAGGAGCGATTCCATGATGGAAAATATTTATGTATTTTATGTAAGTTACTTATGTTATTTATTTAGATTTTATCATATAATACTTTAAAAATGAAACATCCGTAGAGTCAAACACAACGGACTTTCGTTGGAAACATAGAGCTCTTAGAACTATGAAAAAGGCATCCAAATTTTGCCAATAAAAAACCAGTGACTTGTCATTCGAACACGCATACCCAGAGTTGCGTGCTAGTATTAATTTTAAGTGGATACTTCTTGTTATCAGTTTATATAAAATACAATTTGTCTTGCTCTCACTTACTTGATGACGTTGGCATAGATGGGACGTCCATTTTGACTAATATATCATAGTTCCTGAAACAAAATATACTTGTTATAAACATACAATAATTCACAACAAAGAATTAAAAATTCTCACAGAAATATCGTGTGAAATAAAATATTACAAGACACTCGCTGCGGTAACTCAAGTGCTCTTCGAGTTCAAACAAGTTATAAAAAGAAATGAATCGAGTCGATAGAGTAATAATCGTTGCAAATTTAAGTACCTAGTATAAGAAAATAATTCCGCATTGTGTTTGCCCCGTCGATGGCTGACATCTTTCACTCACAATGCAAAGTGCTACTCTCGTTTTGTTCACTATTGGTATTGTTCTATAGTTTTTATTTAACTAAACGGCTATTGGTTTGAGTGCTTTATTGGAGAAGATTGAACATTTAAATTATTTAAAAGTACTCTTAGACGACGCATTTACACTTAACAATTAGCAAAGCGCAAAATACCTCAAAGTTATAATATTAATACTGCATTTTCAATTACTTTACTGAATTTAAAATTTGCATTATGTGTCAATGAAAATGCTTATATTAAGTTATAATTGTATATAATACAATTATTTTCACTTATATTATTTTAAAAATTATTTCAATTTTCTAAAAATAATTAAACGGTTATACTTAATTCATCTTATATAAATTATAGTTGAGTACACACGGCTGCATGCAAGGTTATCACAATATGTTAAATTTCTCCAGATTTCAAAGTCTAGCCACAAAACATTAAAGCTTAAAATCAAGTAGAGAAAATTGACTTATTTGTATAGTCTGACGTACTGTTAACTGTATTTATATTAATAATAATTGTGTTAGAAAAAAAACATGCTTTTTTGCTGTCATCCGACACGACTTATATGAGAGTATGGAATACAGTATTACATACCTAAGCTTAAGAAAAATTGACATAATTGAACTAATATTAAATATTCCCTTCAATCTTCCACGTGAGTTACGTCTTTTGTCATTGAAAATATGGATATTGTCGGTAAATTTTGTTTTTTTAGGGTTCCGTTTCACCAGGTTTTGAACCGTGAAAGTTAGAGAATTGAAATTTCACACAGATGATGTATTTCTGTTGATGCTTCAACAACAAATACTAAAAACCAGAATAAAATAAATATTTAAGAGGGCTCCCATACAACAGATGTGATTCCTTGCTCGTTTCCAATACGGAATCCAACGTACGCGTGTTTGACTCGCACTTAGCTAGTTTACTTTCAAACATTAAGACAGACGCGGCGGCACTTTGTTTTACGTAAGAGCACAAAATATGCACTGAGTGCACATTTTTTTTTTTATTGTAACCGATTTTAGTCCGAACCGCATCAGATAACGGCTCCTTTTGTACGGAACACGCATTGTTTGCATCAACAGGAAACAAATGAAGACGGTAGCAGTGGGTAGTTTTAACACTCATTTGTCGGCACTTAGATGTTTAAAGGGGCTGCATGTTTTTTCCCTCATTATTATAGTTATTTTGAGTTTCGCAAAACAGGTAATTAGGGTAGGATAATCCCTGTAAGTACGGCTGGACAATGGAGTGGTACAGTCCAGGCCCGGTGTGCGTTGTAACAATAGAGAATTTAATAATAACATCGCAAAGTCGGTAGCTTCTTGCTTTTTGCATTGAGAGTTACAAAAAAAAAAGTATTGGGAAGCATTTTGTATGATTTTTAACAAAGGAGGTTCCAATATGTTGGAGGTATCTTTTATTTTGTGTTAGCGTGTGGTTGAAGTCAGAATTTGATTTATCTATAAGGTTCGATACTATGTGTATTATATTTTTTATGTTTCTTAAAAAATATAAAACACTTATTTGTGATTGAAAATTTTACAAACACAAAAAATATGCACTGTTGTTGAGCAGTTAAATTGGTAAAAATGTAGTCCATTGAAGTTTTGAAATATTCCAAAATTCATAGGTAATAAAAACAGCATAATGAAATATAAAACATAAAAATAAAGAAAAATCGTTTCTTTGTTTAGTAATAGGTTGAGGGAACGGTAAATCATACCTTTTAATTCTAAATTAAAATAAAGACTAGTATTAGATATTTGTGTCAGAATTGCATTATAATTAAGCAGACAAAATATATTCTTTAAATATTTTTTTTACAATGTTTAAATCAGACTAATATTTGATTAGTTCAAAAGAATTAAAAAGTGACTTAGTCAAATTTAAATAAATTTAAAATATCATAAGTGTCAATAAAGTAATCACTTTATAAAATAAAAAAATATATATATACATTTGACGGCTTAATCTAACTGGCATATAATATTCTTTATGTAATAGAAAAAAAGAAATGGAAGAGCTTCCTAAGTTATTCGCGTATAATGCAGCTTCTCCTATATGAAAGTAAATACTCTTATATTAGTTTAGATAAATATTTATGATCTGTCAATGAAAAATTAAATATATTATAAGAATATTAACTCACCAGTTTAGGAAAAGCCTTTGCACTAAGACCTATACAGCGAAAATTAAACATAAAAAAAAATTAACTCCCAATAGCCGTGACCAAAATACATCAATACATGAAACTTTAACGAGTTAACGAGTAAATGAAATTTTAATTTGTTGCTTCTGAGTTCTTGGGAGCGTGTTAATTTAACGCTAGCTTCATTGGCACCTTGTAATTGCTTACGTGAAACGAAATATATTAAAACCAACATAAATACATTTGATATGTATTCTTAAGAGAATGCGTTTGAATTAACTTAAATAATTTAAAATTCTTATTGATATTTCACAGTTTGTCGAGTTTTGATTTAAGTAGGTACAAACCTTAATACATTTTTGATATTAGTATTTCATTAAAATTTCGTTTCTGACTCTTTTATTAGCTTACCACAAAAGTGATTTGGCGTTCATATCGTATACAAAAACAAAACGCATAAAGACATTTAACCTTTTTAGTAAATTATAGGCACATTCTTTGGAAAATATATAAAGAATAAAACATGCCATATTGTTTTTAAATTGTAAATATCTCTCTCTCTCAAGAAATCATTTTATGGACAAACACCTCAACAGTTATTTTAAAGTAATATAAATAACCCTAACTACAGATTTCACAATTTTGTTAAAAATTACACTGTGTTAAATATATTTTCATCTTAACTTTGGTTAATGGTTGGACATTAATAGTAATACAGAAAGAAAAATTAAGAAAATCATATGACCTTAATATTAGCACTGCATCTTATTTTTTTTAATAAGATTGCTAATTAACTTAATTAAAACCTAATTAATTTAATTAATAACTAAAAAAAATTAAGACCTTTAATCTGAGATTTCAGCTTTATTATAATGAGAAAGAGTATAGAAGTTCGATGTGTTAGCTACCCCCTTTGTTCTGCTGTTATGTTGGTTTGGCTAATAGGCCCGATATTGGGTTTAGTGTTTAAAGCAACTTATTTATAAGGTGTTACGTTGCTCTATGCTATTTGATACTATTTAGGATTGTAGGTATTATAATTTTGTATGAATAAGCCGATTATTTATTCGTGAAATCAGTTTTGCTCACGTAGTAATATTTGTTCAATATCTTTGACTTATCTACCTCACGAAGTCCTTGAACATATATTACACCTTATATTTTATATATATATATATATATATATATATATATATATATATTTATATATGTTCATATATTTTTTCACGAATTGTTGACGGATTTAAAAAATCTTTTTTTATTAGATAGCTTACTGGTCCGCGGTGGTCCCGTATGCATTTATCGATTACGAATTAGTAGTTCTGATTTTATACTAAAATACTGGAAGCATTTGTTTATTTGTTTGTTATCATTGTAATTAGAAAAAACTAAAAAAAATCTGTAGATTTATAAATTAATTTACAGGCGCCCGACTTTATTACCATTTTATTGAATAAGTCGCTTTTGAGATAAGTATTATCTATCACATTTTAAAGTTTGAAGTCGGTGCCAATTTTTTTAAAGTATTTATTTTATGCTATTTAGTGATATTGATATTTTCTTATATAATAAAAATATTAAATACTAGCATTCCGCTAGCAGCTTCGCCCACGTGGTCCCTAGGGAACTGTTATTTGGATATCGTTTTATATCATAACACGATGACACGGATTACAATGACAAATTGAATACTAAATAATCATTACTATGGTATTTTTTTCATTTTTGCACTCCCATTTTAACAAACAAACGATCAAACCTTTCCTTTTTATGATTTTAATATATATATATAAAAAAAAATATTGAACACAGTGAAAGTCTTAGAAAAGAGGATTTTGTTTATTTCCTCGACATATTTTTTTCCACCAATTCTAGACTAGACATAGGCTGTTATTAACGTAAGCGATGTCGCAGGGAAACTGCTAATTTGATAGAAATTGGTTCACAGTTCAAGAAGAAATCGATTAATCTACCTACTTTCATAAAAATATACATACTCCTTGAACATAGAAAATCCTCCTTTTGGATTTTAAATAAATTCAAAATTCTTTTTAACTAAAGATGGAATATCTTTAGTTAAAAAGATAGCGTATTTTGCATTCGTATGATATTTAAACGCTTTTAAAATAAAAAAGGAGATTTATGTATGTTAGACGGATGTTGTTATATTTTTTTATATATTCACCGATTTCTCTGCGAACTGTGAACCAATTTTATATCAAATATGTATTGGAAAAACAATTGTGGTTATCTATATATAATCAACAGAAAATCTCCACTTGTTTTCAGTAGGTGTTTCAAGCTGCTTTTAGGATAATGAATTTCTCACTTTTTAAAGTTTGTTTTTATTCGTTCTTTTTTTCGAAAAAAAATTAAGTTAAATTTGAATAATTTGTTGTAAACGAAAAAAATCACATTTTTGTAATAGTACTTAATTTAATTGGATATGCGTCAGGTCATTTTTATTACAGTTTCCTTGAAAGATTTATGATTTTTTTTCTATAATTTGATTTAAACGTAGTTTAATATGCAGGCATGCATGGGAGAAGTCCGGG